CGCTTGACTCAATTATCTATCTCTTCAATCCCTGCTGGTTTTTTTTGCCAGGCTGGTATAAAAAAAAAGAGAGCATCTAACAAACACTCGGACAATCGCGGGGTTCCTCAATAATTTGAGAAACTCCAGCATGTATGCTCCCAGCATCACGCAACTTCCGCTGTCGTAACAATGGGATTATTAAACGAAATGTTTAATTTGGCTTGAAAATAGGAAAGAATGATGAAAGTTGAGTGTGATAATATTTTTTTTATGTCTTGGGAAGGAAGAAAAAAATATTGAGAGTTTTGACAGGAACATCTTGCTATGTCTTGAATCAAAAGAAAACAGTGTAGTTGTAGTGGGAAAGTAACTCTTTATGTTTTGGGAATCTAGAGAAGATTGTAAAATTAAACTTGTGTTTCTTATAAGTATTAAGTTTATATCTTGAAAGTCAAATATTGTGAGAGAAGAGTTTTTTCTAAGAGACTAACAGTAGTGTGCAAATTTATTATAACATCCCATTGCTTCTGTAGTTTCAGTTTGTTGTGCTTATGAAATAAAACCAAGGCAGTTGAAAATGTTGAATTTTTTTTTTCTCACTTTACTCATAATTTTAATATGCTACACATTTAATTAATTTAAAACTTTAGGAGAAAAGTAACACATAACCACAAACGATTCAATACAGTAGATTTTTTTAAAAGTTGTTCAGGATATTGTATCTGAATACAAAATTTTGGGATTTTTCACATTCTGAGCTTTTAATGCAGTTACTGTGTGGTGTTGACAAAACAAAGAGAATTAACACCCTTTGATAGAGTCATAGTGAAATATTCACCTGATTCTGGATGGAGTTTAAGAAAAATTGTGAAAGACCTTGGCTATTAACCATGTACTGTGAAGTACACATTGGACACATACAAGGAAACCTAGTCCTATAACATCAGACAAGGCAGGAGACATGGAAGAAAGCTCGCTAAAAGAGAAACCGAGGGAAACTATGAAAGAAACCTTGTTGATGACACTGACAATTCATGCACAGATCAAGTTTCAAAAATTCTGCAGAAATGTGGCTTTTGAAGAAGAGTAGCAGCAAGAAAGCTTTTACCATGTAAATATCCTAACTTTTGAAAAACAACATACATCCTGTTTTTTGGAACAATGGCACGAAGTAGTTTGGACAGACAAATCTAAATATGAACTGTTAGGTTCCAATCAGCGTGTACCTGTTTACTGAAATGTCAATAAGAGGTTGCAGAACGAGTACCAATGGTCTAGCATGCAGGAGGCTCTATGGTGGTTTGTAACACAATATCTAGAAATGATGGGTGTTGTCCATCTTCACAGAATTGATGCAATCATGAATCAGCATAAATACAACATTATCGTTAATTCATCATGAGAACCTCTAGAAAGAACCTAATTGGGCAGAATTTTATATTTAAAGAAGGTAATGACCCCAAACACACTTCCAAGAAATGTTAAGCTTATTTGGACAAAAAATCACTATTTTACAGACAGGCATCACCCTCATGTCCTAAGCTTGAAAGAAAATTATCATTAAACTGGGAGTAAATAAAGTTTTCAAGTCTCAAGAGTGAATATGATTAAAGAGTTTAATTGCATGATAAATTTTCATTTATTGTAATGTTAGTGATACAGCTTTATCTCGTGGTATAATAGTAAAAATGTAATAATAGGGTTTTATTCATGATGCTTTGAGAGTGTAGAAAAAAAGAGGATTAGTTGAATGCAGATATTATGTTTCAGGTTCAGAGACAGCTGAAATGTGTTCAGAGGCGGCAGCTACAGTCTTGCCAGCAGAGTTGTGT